CCCTCCCTTATGTTTTTATGGCATTTTATAAAGAGCTTTCCCATGATGTGCTATCCTACCAATTGATGCTGGCATTCTCGCTGACCTCTCTCTTTATTTCACATCACACATCCAATCCAGCAAATCCTGTTAACGTTACCTTCAAAATGAATCCAGAATCCTAGCTTTCCATAGCTCCCACCTGGGTTGTATCCACCATCATCACTCGCCTCGACAAGTGTGGTCACCTCCTCCCTGGTCATCTGGCCTCTACAGTGCATCTTCCAACCAATGGCCAGAAGGATCATGTTAAAGTCATGCTCTGTGCTTCCTCTGCTCAAAACTCCCCCCTGCTCCCATCTCACTCTGATAAAATGCTGAAGTCTTACAGTGGTCTAGCAGATTCTGCATGATCTGGCCATGTCACCTCCTCCTACTGTTCTCTTTATCCACTGTGCTCCAACCACACCGGCCTCCTTGTAATTCTGTGAAATCACCAGGTGTGACCCTGCCAACGGGCCTTTGCACTTGCTGTTTCCTTTGCTTTAATTAGCTTCTTAGCTCACTCACCTCCTTCAGATCTTTGCTCAAATGTTACCTTCTCAGTGAGGTCTTGATTATTGAGCACAGACCATGCACCAGGCACTATTCTATGCACTCAGGATGCAGTAGTAAGTAAGATGGTCACACATCTCTTCCGGGAGCTCACAGTCCGTCAGGGCGACAGACTTGAAACAACCAATTACAAAAGTTTTTATGTAGAAGTATCTTAGAAATTGCCTGAAAATTTATTCCATTTCCAGCCAGACCTACCTCTTCTCATGCAGGAGTAGTGAAAATAATGCACTTTGGGCTTTGACAGGCTTGGCGCTGCCTCTTGCAAGCTGTGTGCACTTGGGCAAGTTCCTCAACCTCTCTGAGCCTCAGTTTTCCACATCCGTATAATGCAAGTTGTATTAGTTTCCTATTGCTTCTGTAACAAGTCACCAAAATCTTGGTGGCTTGAAAGAACAGAAGCGTATTCTTACAGTTCTGGAGGTCAGAAGTTTGAAACGGGTCCCACTGGGCTGAAATCCAGGTGTCAGCAGGGCTGCATTCCTTGCTGGAGGTTCTAGGGGAGAATCTGTTTTCTTGCCTTTTCTGGCTTCTAGAAGCCAACTGTGTCCCTTTACTCGTGTCCCGCTTCCTCCATCTCCAGAACCAACAGTGGCTGGTCAAGTTTTTCTCACATTGCTTCACTCTGACTCTGCCTCTCCTGGTTTCACCTTTCTCTTATGAAGATGCTTGTGATTATGTTGGTCCCACCTGGATAATCCAGGTTAATCTCTCCATCTCAGGGTCAGCTGATTAACAGTCTTAATTCCATCTGCAACCTTAATTCCCCTTTGCCATGTAGCATAGCATAATTGTGTGTTCCAGGGATTCGGACGTGGTCATCTTTGGGGGGCCATTATTCTGCCAACCACAGGAATGATAGTGTCAAGTGAGTCCCTTCCCTAGCACCTGGAAGCCTGCCCCCACCTGTGGCTTTGTCCTCCTGGAGCTGACAGTGTGGTAGAGGAGATGATCACTAAAAAGCTAACCACTCAAATAATCCAGCAATTATAATTTTGATAAGTGCCATAAACAGGGAGCACAGGGAGCTATGGTGGAGTAAAGGAAGTGACGTTTAAGCAAGAACTGGAGAATGAATAGGAGCTGGCCAGGCAAAGCAGAGGAAAAGACAACAGCATGTGCAAAGGCCCTGAGATGAGGAGGCTAGAAACAGAGAGTGAAGACAGATGTGGTTGGCTCTGGTTACTGGGGGCTTTGTGGGTCATGTTAAGTAACTTGGATTTTAATTCTGAGTGCAACAGGGAGTGTTGTAGGCAGGGGTGGGGGTGGGTGATCAGATTTGCATTCAGAGATGATTGCAGGGAACAGTGGGGGATGTAGGGGATGTAGGGAATGCAGCATCCAGAGGAAGATCTGTACCAAGCATAGCCATGGAGATGGAGAGATGTGGGTAGATGTTGAATATTTAGGAGGAAGAATCAACGGGGCTTGGGAACTCATTGGACGTGTGTTGAGGGCCAAAGAAGTAAA